GCTCACCTCGCACATAGCTCTTTGTTTTTAATCATTTCCTGGGTTACTTTCGAGGCTTCCAAAGAGTCGTCCCCAATGCTCTACACATTGAAATTTTCATGTTCTATAAATATTGGCACATGGCTTTGAAAACGGGAATCACCACTGGAAGTAATAGCAATAGGATAAACCATTAGGCGTTCGAAGCAACCCCTCACTTGCAACGCTCCGCGCATCCTACTTCCATTCAAATCATAGTGACATTTTTATTGCGATTTGGTCTGCACAATGACTAGCACGGGCCACGCGATGTGAAAGCCAGTGTGTTTATGCTCTCCGACAGGTCTAAACCATTCAACTGACCACTGAGAGATACTAGAGCTTCGTCGGACATTTTGTACCATCTCTACTCGAATTTTCGCAATAAATGCTTACAAGATAATTGTTTAATTCTTCTGTGCCAAGCGAGGTTGATAGTTGGAACCTTTTATTGAATGGCCCGACGTTTCGACCTTTTCGTCTTCTTCAGAGGCCTGAAGATAGCTCGAAGCTTTTGATTTTGTAAGCTACCCGACCAAGCATCTCTCCCCCTCTCTCTAGCGTTTCCGATGTCTTAAGAAACACCTCGAAATACCCTGTACGATAAAGAACTCACCAAAGGTTCCACCAGCACTGCGGAGCGTTTAGCTCACGGTGTTTCTCAACACAACGTCGGAAACGCTAGAGGGGGGGGGGAGATGCTTGGTCGGGTAGCTTACAAAATCAAAAAGCTTCGAGCTATCTTCAGGCCTCTGAAGAAGACGAAAAGGTCGAAACGTCAGGCCATTCAATAAAAGGTTCCAACTATCAACCTCGCTTGGCACAGAAGAATTAAACAGTTCGACCAATAATGCCGAGGTTCCAACAAGGGATAACTTGGAGCTCACAAGATAGCTTTTCGGAGTTTTTCATTTCTGACGACAGTTTTTGATACGAATCGTTCCTCGTGACCCAGCGTGGCCGCCTCATTCACACTCTTCCACATCACTTCGCTCCCTTTTATTTCTCTAGTTAGATACGTGAAGAAGAAAAAATGTCATCTTGCCGTATGTGGCCGGTTACTTGAATCAGGGTATCGCTTTGTTTCTAGAAAATAACCGACAAGAAGAATCGAGCAGTGCGATGTTGACACTGGAAGAGCCAAGCGATAGGCAATTGGAGGACTACAAGAAGAGTGTTACGGTATGTGCTGAAGGTTTTAAGGTGGAGCCATAATCTAACACTCTTTTTTCAGAAACCCGGCGTGATCACCAATTCCAATGGAGCCCCGATCGGCGACAAAACAAATATAATCACAGTTGGACCCAGGTAGAAATGCTCATACGATATCTTAAAAAAACCATCGACAGCTAGGGAGTTAGATTACATTTAATAAGATGTTCTTACTGTGGCGGTGCATTGCAGTTCTTTTTTAAATGGGGTCAGGGAAGTCATAATGGAATAAAGACGGAGTAACTACGCCATACTGTCATAGATGTATTATTTCAGAGGTCCAATGCTAATGCAGGATGTCGTGTACCTGGACGAAATGGGCCACTTCGACCGTGAACGAGTCCCTGAGAGAGTGGTCCACGCCAAAGGAGGAGGCATGTTTCTTTTATCGAACACATAATAGATCTAACAGTGGCGTTCATGAAGGCCAGAACATTAACGAAAGAAAGCGTTTTTGACTATCATGTCGGTTGAGGCAAGCGCGATTTCGCGAACAGGCTGCCGTGACCCAAAAGTGGGTCACGCCGTCCCACACGGCCTGCTGCATGCCCTAAGAATTGTTCACGCTGTTGTTAATGTGTTAAGGAAGTTAACTACTCTTCATTGTAATCGGTCACATAAATGGAATCTTGGGGTGCGTTGGAACTGCTTTCAGTTTACTAACCTTTTTAATGCTCTTCTTCAGGAGCTCACGGTGTATTTGAAGTGACTCATGATATCACAAAGTACTGCAAAGCGGACATATTCAGCAAAGTCGGCAAACAGACACCATGCTTCGTCCGCTTCTCCACCGTTGGTGAGTGCTTCAATAAAAAACCGAACTTGAAGAGCACAGGTACATGCTTGGAGTCTTTCGCCATCACCCTTGGAACCTAGCAAAGTGAGCCTGTTAACCCTTTAGTACCCATGTGCTTTCCGTTTACTGGCCTCTTCGACGTGAGAGTGAGAATCTCTCAAAATTTAAACCTGAGGATACATTTGGCTTTTTGAGTAATTCGATACGGAGAATACAAATATGATATCAGTTGGCATAGAAGCTTTGCAACGCGCATTACAGACTCCAGCGCTTGAAAGAAGATTCCACTATAAGGTCGGAGTCGAAGAAGGGAAAATATACCAAGTCTAGTCGAAAGGCAAGGGGCCCCTGAGGGTGCCGTGCGATTCGCGTTTCGCACGAAAAGTATACTTCCAGCGGTATAGGGGGGATCACGCTGCTCTCGCCGCTACCCGCACACTCTCTCGCCGTCAGAATCTAGCCCTTTTGTAGAGAGAGCGTTAGCGTTGAAGAGGCTGCACGATGAGAGTCGCATCAATGTGGAAATCAACGGGCGAAGAAGGAGTCCCGTTTTCCAGTTCTGGGATGTTTCTCGTTGTTTTTTCTTTTCTTCACTACTGCACCACGGACCACCTCGAGCCTAATTTCTAAAGGGCTGCTTTTTCATCCTAATCTCCGCCTGTTAGTCACGGAATGGGGCCACCACTTATGGCGCAAGTGCCGATCAAATGCGATACGCGTGTTCTCTAGATCAGCTTATGCTATCTCCGGGGACGAAATGTCCGTTGGACGCATTCGAGAAAAATCCAGCCTTAAATCTGAAGACTTAAGGGCAGTGAAGCTTCAATATATGGTGCCATTGGGTCCCTACACTCTTTCAGAAGCATTCGCAATTTCCTGAAAACATAGCAACTACAAAACCATTCTTCAGTCAATTTTGAAGAAGGAATTTTAAAAGCTGGACCAGTGAATGATTAGCATCTAATGTTTTTACAAGCTTGAAGAACTTCTATCGAATATGTTTCAGCTGGAGAGCCCGGATCACCAGACACGGCCCGTGATCCGCGTGGTTTTGCTGTGAAA